TAGCCATTTCATAAATAAACAAATGCCAAATGTAATTTAGGAATCGTATAAAAGATGTGGAAGAACAACAAGAAGATGTACTTCAATGGTCTGTAAAACAAGTTGAGGATTTTTATAAGGAAAAATTGAATCAAGTTAGTAGTTGCAAAAGAAGACGTTCGTCTCTTTCTACGAGTAATCTCCAGGATAATTCAAGAAATACTGAAAAATTAGAAATAGAAAATTCATGCTTGACGTCGAAGATCGTATTATTAAAAAGTACTGTAAAAGAACTTAAAGAAGCAAATCAAACTTTAACAATTGAAAAGAATAAAACAACTTTTGAACTCGGTTTGACAAAAGAAGACTTAAAAAATGTAAAGAATTTATTAAATGCAGCTCAACAGGATGTTTGTTCTGATGAAGAAACAAAACATTATGTAGAGGAATTATTATTTAATATATTCAATTATACTATTTTAGAAACTTAAAGTATTTTTAAATGAAGCAAAAGAAGAGTATATTGCAATTACTACAGATGTAAGGGAAAAAGAATATGTAATTAAGGAGCAAGAAGAAGAACTATTTGAAAAACAAGAAACAATAGAAGATTTAGAAGAAGACCTTGCACATATTAATATTTGTTTAACAGAAAAAATCAAAGCAGTAGAGATTTTAGAAGAAAAATTAGAAAATCAAACTAAAAAAATGCTGGATAATGATAACAAACTGCAAAATATGCAAGAGCAAATAAACAAATTAGAAAATGAAAAATTATTGATGTTAGATGAACTTGAGTTAATTAAGAAGACAGCTGTTGCTGGAAACAGTATAATAAAAGATTTAAAACACAAAAACGATGTATGTTATTAATTACATTTGCAAGAAATATAATTATTTTATTAAATTCTACTATTAATATAAACTTTTATTTCATAGGAATGTGAAATATCTTGTGACTTTTTAAAAGAAGAAGAAGAAGAAGAAGAAGATAAAAAATGTGTTATAAAAGAGAAACTATCTTTTGATCCGAAAGTAGAAATAATAATAGAGGATTCAAGCGAGAATGATCAAGAAATAGACACAGGTATGTATGCATTATCTTTAACTTCACATTATTTTAAACTACTGATGTTACATAACTTATTACTAACTACATAGGACGTGGACAACTTGAAACACATATGAAAGAAAAAATAATTGCAATAGAAGCAGAGAATTCGGCATTGAGAGAAAAATTAGTTCGAAGTACAACCGAAATACAAAGCTTAAAGGATGAATTAGAGTCTACCAAAGTGAAAGTAAAAGATATATCTGAACAAATATCTAACTTAAAAATTAGTAACATACAGTCTAAAGTTGAAAATGATGAAAATAAGGAACATAAAGTTGCGGTAGAAACTATAGAAATAGGTTGTCAAGCCCATATAGAATCTGATGAGCACAGTGTAGACGCGTCGAAGAATGATGTACTCAACAAAAGCAGTCAGACCATTCAGAGTTTGACAATAGAAAAGATTAATCAGACAAGTTTTATTGAAGACACTGATGAACATGATATTACTTTGGATAAATTAGCAAAACTAACGGTAAAATACGACGATATTAAGACGGAATACAAAAAAAAATATCTGGTATGTAATAACATAGTTAAATAAATTTGTCAGTATTTTTCATATTTACACTACAAATTTTTCATTTTAAGATGTTGGAAGAAGTAGAGAAAGAGGTATTAATTTTGAGACAAAGAATAGAAAAACTTTCAGAAGAAAATGATACAAACAAAGTTGATATAGAAGAATATAAACAATCGATTGTGTTGCTTCAGAAAGAACTTTTTATAATAAAAGAAGAGAAAAAAGAAATTGAAGAGACATTAAAAAGTACCGACAATATTAAAGTTTCCATGGAAATACAAATTAGCGATTACGAACAACGGCTTAACGAAGCTGAACAACAACTTTCAATTACTAAAAATGATTATCAACAATGTGTGGAAGTATGTTGCTCTTCCTTATTTTGTAACAGCTTTTTATATGAATTCAATTATTCTTTAAAATTTTATTTTATCTTTACAGAAATTAAATACCTTGCAAGCAGGCTTTGATACTTATGTTTCGAAGGTATGTAAGTACATGTAGTATAGTCATCATGTTTTATATTAAATTAAATTGTTTCCCTTTTGTAGTGCAAAAATGAACATGAAGAAATAATAACTAACTTACAAAAAGACCTTTCTTCTGCATTAGAGAAGTGTAATATCAAATCACAGGTATTTAAATAAATTCATACAAATATATTCTTCTGCTTCAATAAGAACATCTAAATAATTCTTTCCTTTCTAGTGCTTAGATGTTCATACCACAAAAATTATGGAATTAGAACATAATCTTGAAGGTATAACGGAGCTTCAGCAAAAAATAGACGAGTTAAATAGAAATTTAAAAACATGTCAAACCGAAAAAGACACGTTACAGAAATTATTTGACGAAAATAATGATAGGCTTCTAGACCTAGAAGATCGCCTAGAAAGTACAGAGGAAAATGAGCGAGAAAAGGATGCTGAAATAATTACTCTTCAGAAAGGTTAGTCAAATATCTGGTGATTTGACAATGTAAATTAATCATGTTGCATTATGTTTTCAATCGTTATACTTTGAATTATTGTAGAACTAAAGGACATGATACAGAGAAGTGAGTATGACGACAGAAGTGATAAATTAATGGAAATAGAGATGAAGAATACAATTAAGAAATTAACAACAATGAAAGAGATGCTTACTCAAAAAGAAGAGTATATTGAACATTTAGAAGAGCGCATAAAACAGAACGAACAGAATGCTAAAATATTAGAACTTTTGCAAGAGAGTTCTCAAGAGAGGCAAGCAGAGAACGAAAGGTTAAGAGCTCTAAACGAAGAATTGAAGAATGGCTTAATGGAGAAGGACCGTGAAATGGAAACATTTATGAGGAATAGAGACGAGATGGTAGCAAAGTATGAAAGTTTAGTAAAATGTCAACAAGAAGCATTGGAAAAGCAAAAGCGAGAGGTACTTTTTTAAATTATGACATTCAATGAAGTATGAAATGCATTTAATAATTATTTCACAGTTACCAAAGAATTATTCGAAACAAACAGAATATTGTGAAAATACGTCTGAAGATGAGGTGGCACTTAAGGAACGTCGAACAAGGCGGGCGCCAAGGAAATATAGTCCATCGTCGTCCTCCAAACAGGATGAAATTTCAGTTGTCGAACTATCTAGCTCCGATTCGAAGTACATCGCATAAAAATTTCATAAAAAAATTGTGTATTATATCTTTCTAAATTAGAGTTTTACATTGAAATGTGTTATGATGTTTCAGACGCGGTAGAGTAAAGAATAGTAATCGTAAAAAGAAGCTGTTTATTTCTCAGGATGAATCTTTTCAAGATATTGAACCAGTTGAGGTAAATTCTTTTAATTTCTATGCAATCCATCATTTGCATGTCTTATGCATTGTCTGTTAATGTTTTTATTTGTTTAGAGCACAGTAACAATTACACCATCGCAAACTCGTAGTTTGAGGAGTAGACGAAAATTATGAAAATAGAATGTATCAAATTGAGAATATGTTATGGAGAGAAACCAACATTGATGAATGCAAAAACAAGGAATAATCACAGCGTCAATGATTAATAACAACGTTATGAAGCGAGATGTGCATTTTGTGATATTTCTAAATAAATGAAATTTAATCTTTATATTTTATAAGGTATATCATAAGAACAATGGAGCAGTATTTATGTATCATTTAATCGTACTTCATATTAAAATAACCTATTTTTTAAATATGTTGTTTTTTTCTTAACCGCATCTAAACATTTTACGAAATCGTTTAACAATGTAAAAATATTAATTCGAATAAGAAGCTCCACGAACATAATATTATCAACGATACATATTGTTGCAAATCGTCTATAATTATCTTTATTTTAGGTTAAAAGTTTATGTTCTTTTTGTTTTACATAAAAAGCTTTGTAATATCGAGAGGAACAGATTGATAGGTAAACATTTATCGATCTTATATGTTTTTTTTTTGTTTTTTCAATTTATTTCTCACGAGGTACACGACCTTTATTGTTACATTCCGCACTTATATTAATTATTCTCTTAATAGTTTCGTAATTATATATATTTTTATTTATTTATTTTCATATGTATATTATGTATATCATTTTATATATACGTATCGGGTGTATGTTCATCCTTATGAGTGAATGCACTGTACCGTAGGATAGCTTTTTATTACACAATTCACAGAGTCGTTTTGAAATAGGGGGACTGCCGAAGTACACCATAATGATTCATTTTTGTGTTCATACGTTTTTTTTTTCTCTTTTTTGTTGTTTTGGCCATTGAAGGGAAAGACGTTCGTTTATCGACATGTACATATTATATATTACTTTCCTGATTAACCGTTCTGGCTGCCTAAAAGATGAAGGACTCGTCGCGAAAATGTATTTCGTCACGTCTCAGTCGGGGCAAAGAGGACACATAAAACGCGGACTATTTGTCGCTCAGAACACGTCGCGCGTACAAGAAATATAACACGAGAATCGTTCCGTGAACGGAATCATAGAATACAATAATATACACAACAGGTTGTCAACGAAAGACGCGCTCAACATTACGATAGAATTCACATGTTTCTTTTTTCGCGTTCAATCGGTGATGTATGGTATCCAAAGAAAGTCACACGACTATCGGCGCACACGGTCCCATATGTACCGACTGCGCAGATGTAATGCATGAGCGTTTCTGTCTTTCATTAACATTCCGACGAACTTAGGCCCGAATAATTTGCGACATCTTAACGTTAAATATATATTCTCATACAATATATGTATTATATATCGACCTAACGACTAGTGCGAATGAAAAACTTCACAGCGAGCTGGGTGAAACACGCGCACGCGGTGAACCAGCGTTGAGCTCAGAATTAAGTCTTTCTTTATATCTTAAAGGATAGGATTTCCTTTACAAGTCTCTAAACTAATATATTTCATTTTTCTTTCTCTCACGTGCATCGAATTAGTCGGTCGATACACGGACAAAAGGATAATATAGAAAATCTCTGGGAAGAATTGACGAAAGATCTGGACTCAACATAGTGGCGCACGTAAAACGAACGTCTTCAACAACTGGAAGTGCAACGATTAAACGTTTGCTTTCTTGGCCTTCCTTTTCTTTCTCGATTCTTCACATCCAGATTATCACTTTTTCTTTCACACACACTCTCTTTCTCACTCTCTCTCTCTCAAATCTCTTTTTGACTTTCGCCGTTTGTATCCATAACAGAGACAATCGTCCACCCTTCTCCTTGTACATCGCGCTTTATCTTCGCAATTCAGTAACAATCACAAACACTTCTATTATGTTTTCCTCACCGATCCATAGAGTATCCACGTAATAGAAGGGGCACGCTCTAACGAAGATAAAACATCGCGCCGTGTAACGCTATACTTTATGCTTCGCGACTCTTTCCGGTCTACGTACGAATTGTTGTTTCACCTCGGTTTTCGTCGAGGTCGAGGAAATTATTGGACGGTATGTCGCAGAAAATCATGTCGAGAGATTGTTGTTGTTCGTCGATTCGTTTTTTCTTCTTGAGTACTATTGATCATACGAGCCCCTCTCTATTACACAGACTCTACGGTCCAAATTCGTTAAATATGATCAACGATATCAGAGCAAAATTACAAACACGTAACAAATACCAGGGCGAGTTTCATCGTAAAAGACAACGTATTGTTCGCGACGCAACAACAATAAATGCGTCTGGGAGTAATAATAATAATAATAATAGTAATAATAGTAATAATAATAATAGTAATAATAGTAATAATAATAATAGTAATAATAGTAATAATAATAATAGTAATAATAGTAATAATAATAATAGTAATAATAGTAATAATAATAATAGTAATAATAGTAATAATAATAATAGTAATAATAGTAATAATAATAATAGTAATAATAGTAATAATAATAATAGTAATAATAGTAATAATAATAATAGTAATAATAGTAATAATAATAATAGTAATAATAGTAATAATAATAATAGTAATAATAGTAATAATAATAATAGTAATAATAGTAATAATAATAATAGTAATAATAGTAATAATAATAATAGTAATAATAGTAATAATAATAATAGTAATAATAGTAATAATAATAATAGTAATAATAGTAATAATAATAATAGTAATAATAGTAATAATAATAATAGTAATAATAGTAATAATAATAATAGTAATAATAGTAATAATAATAATAGTAATAATAGTAATAATAATAATAGTAATAATAGTAATAATAATAATAGTAATAATAGTAATAATAATAATAGTAATAATAGTAATAATAATAATAGTAATAATAGTAATAATAATAATAGTAATAATAGTAATAATAATAATAGTAATAATAGTAATAATAATAATAGTAATAATAGTAATAATAATAATAGTAATAATAGTAATAATAATAATAGTAATAATAGTAATAATAATAATAGTAATAATAGTAATAATAATAATAGTAATAATAGTAATAATAATAATAGTAATAATAGTAATAATAATAATAGTAATAATAGTAATAATAATAATAGTAATAATAGTAATAATAATAATAGTAATAATAGTAATAATAATAATAGTAATAATAGTAATAATAATAATAGTAATAATAGTAATAATAATAATAGTAATAATAGTAATAATAATAATAGTAATAATAGTAATAATAATAATAGTAATAATAGTAATAATAATAATAGTAATAATAGTAATAATAATAATAGTAATAATAGTAATAATAATAATAGTAATAATAGTAATAATAATAATAGTAATAATAGTAATAATAATAATAGTAATAATAGTAATAATAATAATAGTAATAATAGTAATAATAATAATAGTAATAATAGTAATAATAATAATAGTAATAATAGTAATAATAATAATAGTAATAATAGTAATAATAATAATAGTAATAATAGTAATAATAATAATAGTAATAATAGTAATAATAATAATAGTAATAATAGTAATAATAATAATAGTAATAATAGTAATAATAATAATAGTAATAATAGTAATAATAATAATAGTAATAATAGTAATAATAATAATAGTAATAATAGTAATAATAATAATAGTAATAATAGTAATAATAATAATAGTAATAATAGTAATAATAATAATAGTAATAATAGTAATAATAATAATAGTAATAATAGTAATAATAATAATAGTAATAATAGTAATAATAATAATAGTAATAATAGTAATAATAATAATAGTAATAATAGTAATAATAATAATAGTAATAATAGTAATAATAATAATAGTAATAATAGTAATAATAATAATAGTAATAATAGTAATAATAATAATAGTAATAATAGTAATAATAATAATAGTAATAATAGTAATAATAATAATAGTAATAATAGTAATAATAATAATAGTAATAATAGTAATAATAATAATAGTAATAATAGTAATAATAATAATAGTAATAATAGTAATAATAATAATAGTAATAATAGTAATAATAATAATAGTAATAATAGTAATAATAATAATAGTAATAATAGTAATAATAATAATAGTAATAATAGTAATAATAATAATAGTAATAATAGTAATAATAATAATAGTAATAATAGTAATAATAATAATAGTAATAATAGTAATAATAATAATAGTAATAATAGTAATAATAATAATAGTAATAATAGTAATAATAATAATAGTAATAATAGTAATAATAATAATAGTAATAATAGTAATAATAATAATAGTAATAATAGTAATAATAATAATAGTAATAATAGTAATAATAATAATAGTAATAATAGTAATAATAATAATAGTAATAATAGTAATAATAATAATAGTAATAATAGTAATAATAATAATAGTAATAATAGTAATAATAATAATAGTAATAATAGTAATAATAATAATAGTAATAATAGTAATAATAATAATAGTAATAATAGTAATAATAATAATAGTAATAATAGTAATAATAATAATAGTAATAATAGTAATAATAATAATAGTAATAATAGTAATAATAATAATAGTAATAATAGTAATAATAATAATAGTAATAATAGTAATAATAATAATAGTAATAATAGTAATAATAATAATAGTAATAATAGTAATAATAATAATAGTAATAATAGTAATAATAATAATAGTAATAATAGTAATAATAATAATAGTAATAATAGTAATAATAATAATAGTAATAATAGTAATAATAATAATAGTAATAATAGTAATAATAATAATAGTAATAATAGTAATAATAATAATAGTAATAATAGTAATAATAATAATAGTAATAATAGTAATAATAATAATAGTAATAATAGTAATAATAATAATAGTAATAATAGTAATAATAATAATAGTAATAATAGTAATAATAATAATAGTAATAATAGTAATAATAATAATAGTAATAATAGTAATAATAATAATAGTAATAATAGTAATAATAATAATAGTAATAATAGTAATAATAATAATAGTAATAATAGTAATAATAATAATAGTAATAATAGTAATAATAATAATAGTAATAATAGTAATAATAATAATAGTAATAATAGTAATAATAATAATAGTAATAATAGTAATAATAATAATAGTAATAATAGTAATAATAATAATAGTAATAATAGTAATAATAATAATAGTAATAATAGTAATAATAATAATAGTAATAATAGTAATAATAATAATAGTAATAATAGTAATAATAATAATAGTAATAATAGTAATAATAATAATAGTAATAATAGTAATAATAATAATAGTAATAATAGTAATAATAATAATAGTAATAATAGTAATAATAATAATAGTAATAATAGTAATAATAATAATAGTAATAATAGTAATAATAATAATAGTAATAATAGTAATAATAATAATAGTAATAATAGTAATAATAATAATAGTAATAATAGTAATAATAATAATAGTAATAATAGTAATAATAATAATAGTAATAATAGTAATAATAATAATAGTAATAATAGTAATAATAATAATAGTAATAATAGTAATAATAATAATAGTAATAATAGTAATAATAATAATAGTAATAATAGTAATAATAATAATAGTAATAATAGTAATAATAATAATAGTAATAATAGTAATAATAATAATAGTAATAATAGTAATAATAATAATAGTAATAATAGTAATAATAATAATAGTAATAATAGTAATAATAATAATAGTAATAATAGTAATAATAATAATAGTAATAATAGTAATAATAATAATAGTAATAATAGTAATAATAATAATAGTAATAATAGTAATAATAATAATAGTAATAATAGTAATAATAATAATAGTAATAATAGTAATAATAATAATAGTAATAATAGTAATAATAATAATAGTAATAATAGTAATAATAATAATAGTAATAATAGTAATAATAATAATAGTAATAATAGTAATAATAATAATAGTAATAATAGTAATAATAATAATAGTAATAATAGTAATAATAATAATAGTAATAATAGTAATAATAATAATAGTAATAATAGTAATAATAATAATAGTAATAATAGTAATAATAATAATAGTAATAATAGTAATAATAATAATAGTAATAATAGTAATAATAATAATAGTAATAATAGTAATAATAATAATAGTAATAATAGTAATAATAATAATAGTAATAATAGTAATAATAATAATAGTAATAATAGTAATAATAATAATAGTAATAATAGTAATAATAATAATAGTAATAATAGTAATAATAATAATAGTAATAATAGTAATAATAATAATAGTAATAATAGTAATAATAATAATAGTAATAATAGTAATAATAATAATAGTAATAATAGTAATAATAATAATAGTAATAATAGTAATAATAATAATAGTAATAATAGTAATAATAATAATAGTAATAATAGTAATAATAATAATAGTAATAATAGTAATAATAATAATAATAGAAACATCATCAATCTGCATGGATCTTGACCAATTTTCTTCCTTCCTTCTTTATTCACGAATGCTCGTCGAATCATGTTCATCTTTGGCATGCAACATTCACGATCAACGAATAACGATAAAGGATCATCGCGGAGAAGCGTGACCATTACGAGCTGGTTGTTCTTTTTACTAGGGTGAAGAAAAAAAAAAAAATGGACGACGATGCTTGTCGATTCGTTCGAAACTGTGTCCTTCGACACACGGCAGTGTAATGTGTCACTTCGGATTAGTCCTCGATCCTTCGAACCCGATGAAGAGGCATTCAATTCTAATTTTTTCTTCTATAATAATCGTTATTTGTTTCTTTTTTTTTGTTTTTCAATATTCCGCAGCACAGTGCATTTCGGGTAACCTCTTACGCGGTAAACACGCTCGATGCTAAAGAAGCAACGCATACTTTTATTTTTCTTTTTCTTTTTTTTTTCTTCATTAAATACATTAACGATCGATATTACAAACAGGGAAATGCTTTGAAATCGTCTCTTTTTTTTCATCTTTAAATATCTTATTATATTCGCCCTTTTGTAACCGAAGGCGAGTCGTCTAACAATTGACATAAGTGTGGCGTTAAAAGTATCGTCTCGCGTGCATACCCGTCCACCGTTCAAGAATATCCCTAGATTATTGACAGAGATGGAATTAATCGACGGAGGTTCGAGAAGCGAGATCGATCAATCGGCAAAATAATTTTTTCTTCCTTCTATTTTACAGTCTCTACACAACCCATCTTCAAAGGTATCTCCTTTTAACACGCCCCATCTTCATCGTGCTCGAGGATCGCAAACGTACATGCTGTCGAGGAAAGCACCCCAAAGAAGAGAAAACAAGGAACAGGCGCCTTCAGGCTTCCCCTTCGAATCCCTCTTTTTCCTTCCATCTTCTTCCTCTCTCCTCTCAATTACAATCATCATCTCAAGATGACAAACAAAAAAAAGTCAAACGGCAGTCCCATTCTTTCACAAGCTTCCCCTTACATTTTTTTCACCCCCTCTTTTATCACATTATTAAACAATTCAGGGTTACATATCGTCAACCTTGGACATCATTAATTTTCTCTCTCCAAAAAAAGAAACAAGAAAAAAAAATCGTCTCTTCTTCCCCTTTGAAATTCTTCAACAAGGTGGACAGAGAGGAAGAGAAAAGGGGGGAAAACAGCGAGATTCTTCTGTTTCAACGATCTTTCCCCCCACTCTCTGTCCCTCCTCCGTACAGTCCTTTCTAAAAATTAGAAAACTAAAAGAAGAATATAGAGAGAAAAGTGGAGGAAGGTCGATGGAAGAAAGATACAAGACAACCCCCCGGCCGCCGATCCTTCGCACAGTCGCCCTATCACACAGGATCTGAATTGAAACGCGGACGAGAGATCGTCTCTATCCGGTCGCAAAGGGGGATCCCCTGGCTCACTCGTCGTCCTCGGTGTCCAGCAGCTCGTCGATCTGCTTCTCCCACTCGTCTCGATCCAACATATGGATCCAACGTTGGTCTTCGCAATCCTTCAGCTCTGCTTCCAATTCGCGTTCCCAATCATTTTCTGCGGAGATTCACAAGCAGCGTTGTAGCTAGTTTCAAGCGGACAGCGCGGCCTCTCTCGTTACGGAGTGTGTATGTACCACGTGTGTGTATGTGAGTGTTCATGTGTCGGTTTCGTTCTACTTTTGCCTGTGTACGCATGTAATCTGCTTGTGTACGTGTCATGTGTGTATGTGTGCACGTGTTGAAAATAGGTGTGTATTACATTCACGAGTCGCGATTTTCCGCATACAATCGAGTTGTTCTCGTCGTGCTCGCGCTCGTCCCTGTTTCTTCGCATCGATCTCGCGAAACGCTGGTCGGTGCGCCTCTGTGTGTGCCCAGAGAACCGAGAAAAGGGAGTTGAACGCGAAACGGAATCAGAGAGACGGATTTCCGGCTTGCTTTGCTATACACGCTTATTCCGTCCCCTCCCCTACCTCATCGTATACCACTATACGAACACGACCGTTAATAATTTCTCCACGGAAGATTTGATGGACCCGCGAGCATCCTACAGCACACTTATACATCCAAGATGTCTCTCGGTCGTGAATTTCTAGCTCTACTCTGGTCTCTCTCTCTCTCTCTCGTTCGTGAAAATCTCATTTCACACGCTGGTGGTAATAACCTAACCTATTCGCGTGCACTGTTGCCGAAAAACCGTATGTCAAAACTTCGAACCTGGAAGTAGTTTCCAACGATGGAATGACGTGGAGAGAACTGGGGAAACAATTTTTGTACGTTCGTTCTATTAACGCGATTTAAGTAATTACTTCTCGAACTAGCGAATTCGATGGGGGATTACATTAAAACGCGCGCGGCGCGGCACCTTAATGTCTGGAGTCTCTCTCCTGAAACTTAAAAATCCACCTTTAGGGTGAACCATCCATCTGCCTGTCCAAAAGTTCCACCTTACAAAACTGTACCGTGCATGGAATTACATACCGTTGTTTTAATTATTTTTCATCACTCTACAGTGTTTTCTAGATGGTTCGTAACGAATGATTCTCGTGTGTCTATCCGGCCTTTAGAAAAGTGAGCCAACCGAATTTTTTACAGTCCGATACTCCGCTGTTCTCCCTCTCATTCTCATTCTCTTTCGCTCCCACTCTATCTCTCTCTCTGTCTCTCACACTGGCTAACCCCGTGTGTGTATATCGATTCATCTTTACATGCGCTCTCCATGTAGAATCTAGTCGACGTTCGATAGCTTTCGCGACCGCCAGCATCAGAGGCCTCGCGTTCATGCTAGTCGCTTCTATTATTTCTTTTACTTTCTTTTTCGTTTCGATTTGTTTCTAGTCGCGTTCGTTCGTTCGTTTTTTTTTTTTATATCGTTTATATGCTTTCGGTTTGTTTCTTTTTGTTGTTTTTTATTTTATTCATCGAAATCAGGTGCACCGGTGCACGTGCGAATTTTCTCGCGTGCTCGTTTACGCCGCTTAAGCGACCGTCCATACGGAAAACGTCGAAACGGAAAATTAATTTATTTCCACGCCCGTTTCCGCCGTTCCCGTTGCTGCGCCTCTTGTTAATCACACTTCCTCCACCAATCTTCTCCCTCGTCGTAAATGTATATTTTTTTCTTCAGAAAAATTTGTTTCTCCATATTTTATCGCGCGAGATATTTTGTTTTGTTTTGTATTTTCTCTTCTTTTTTTGTCGAGTTCGTTCGAGTGGACGGGCGTGTAAACGGATCGCTTCCCGGCCGGCCGGTTTTCACCGTGAATCTTTTTTTTTTTCTTTTTTTTTTGCGTGTAACGGTTGTTACACGTTAGATTTTTTTTCTTTTTTTCTTTTAAATTGAATCGGAAGGAAAATCGCTACAATGACTAACACCCACGAGAGACGAGACGAAAGTAACACCTCGATCCCCGTTTTTTATTTATTTTTTTTTTTTTCTTTTAAAACACGTATTGTCATTCAACGAATTTTTATATTTTACTTTTTTTTTTTCTTTTTTAGTTTGTCTTAATTCTTTATGGTAACACTTAGTAAATTCTTTTCTCTCTCCCCTCTCTTACCCTCTCCCTGTCTTTCTTCCTTTCTCTACTTCTCTTTCCATCGCCGTAACTCTCGTCGAAAAGAAGATACACAACTACGATATCAGCAGCAGATTGCGGAATCCCTTAAATCTCTAGTTAATATTATTTTTCACGTTCGCGAGAAAAATTGGCCTAATCGCGCGGCGGCGGCTGCAGCGATTCGCGAAACAGCGTCAGCTATCCCCAGGAAGGAAAGCATTTTCAAACAAATTCGCGTCGTCCTTCCCCTCTTCCTTCTTCAATAAACGGTCATATTTCTTTTCTTCCCGCGTGGTTTCTTTTTTTTCCCTTATTTCTCCTTCATCTCCCCTTTTTCCATCTCGTTTCCTTCCGCCGGTTAATGCTTCCTCTTTGAACGTTTTACAACACGGAGAGAATCGACAAGAGACAATATTATTTGTTTTTATTGATTAAGAACGAAGACAGACAGACAACAGACAAACATACAGACATACAGACATTTAGTCGAGTTTTTATGTTATCTCTATTGGTTTCGTGGGTTTTACATGTGTGTTTTCAGCATTTTTCAGCGTGGATACATAATTTTCTTGCCACTTTTTCGTACTGTATTCATATATATCTTTTATTACCAAAGGATTCCCTCTCTCTTCCTACACGTTCTTTCCTCGAAAAGCGTCCTCTCTCTCATTCTTCCTCTCCCGTCGCGCATTCACTCACACATTCGCGCCGCTCTCACTTGCGCACGCATTCGCTCGTATTTCTCCCGCTCTCCCCTCAGCATGCGTGTCAAATAATTCGCGTGTCACTACCTACTTCGCTATCGTATCGGTTTATACGCGCTGTTTTATCGCGGTTCAAATCCGACGTATCACCTAAACGCTGTTTCCTCTTAAAGGATTTTTTTTTTACTTTATTACGTTCCTCTACGCCCCCTACCCCTCCCTTTCTCTCTCTCTCTCTCTCACTCTCTCCCTTTCTGTTTTTACTCTTCTCTCATTTTCTCCCTCTCTGCGGAACGCACTTAGCTCTAAAGAAGAAACGAAAAGAGAATAAAAAAAATTATTTCACGCGATCGCGGCGAACGATAACACGAATCACCCCTCTCTCTCTCTAAAAAATCGTCGATCGGTCTGTTTTTTCTCTCCATTCGGGCGCGTGGTACGAGATCGCGTCCTCTGTCTCTCGTATCGAACACGATGTATTCGTTAAACGAAAGACAGAGGATATATCGCACGAGAAAGCAAACTCCGGGACCAAAATGGCGGCGGGTGTTCGTTCGTCTCGTGAGAACGTCCATGGGGTGGGTTTCTTTTCTCTTCGAAAGGTTTTTGTCGATCACACAGGGTGGGGGGGAACAAACAGAAGTGGTAGTAGAAGAAGAAGAAGAAGAAGAGAGGGATGAAAGGAGATAGAAAGGGAAGGAAAAAAGAAAATAGAGTAAACGAGAAGAAAAAAAGTGGGGGAAGGGTTCGAGGAGATCGTGGACGAGAACCGAAAAGCTCAACGTCGGTCTTCGAGACGGGGAAAGAAGCTTGTCGTATTTATTTTTGAAGGGTGTGCTTTGGATAATGCTTTTTATCGGGGGGAATCTCCTCTTCTTAGGCTGTTGACAGAATAGAATGGAAGAGTAGTCGTTTAGTCACAATCGGGCATCATATAGTCAGACGAGAGGTTGAACAAAAACACAAAAACACAGAAACGAGATCAGGGACAAATTTTCTATTATATATACATATATGTATCTACATATACATATATATATACACATACACTACTATATGTATTGAAAAAAAAGAAGAAAAACAAAACAGAGGGTACACGAGCAATCCTTACTCTAAGAATTGAAGCACACTGATACAGGATTAAAGTTGGAATAAAAGCTTTGCTCTCGCAGCATATATTACGAGTACACACAGGCTACAGAAAGAACGGTGACGAAACGTGGCTCGCCTAAAACGCTGGTGAAAAGACAGGTGGAACACATCGACAGAGGATCGACCTTCAATTTTCACGTTCATTCACGAGTAGTATACTCACGAGGGATGAGTTTTCTTGGACACATCTTGGTGTCTTGGCCGCGGATCGCTTCGTTCGAAAGAAATTTCTCTCTTTTTTTCCTTTTTTCAAATTTTGCAACCGTGAAATCACATTTCACGCGACAACAACTCACGAGGGAAAATTGTTCAATTGTCCAATAACACGGGACTGTGACACCTCTCTCGATGAATATTCATCGAGGCGGCCCAGAGGCAAATGCAAAAAAAGAAAAAAAGAAAGAAAAAAAGAGAGTGGTAGTTCCTCTTCGAACTTGTACGGTAACTCTTGCACGAAATTTCGTTGGTGGTCGTAAACGGAACAACACACGGCGGAACATCTCTTCAAACATTACCCCGTTCACGTGGCTAATATCGGTGTGTGTACAGAACAATTTCGAATCAACGTGCAAAAATACAGCGCGGGCTTTTCTTTTCAAGGGTGGTTTTCATACCGAGGACACGCTACACGAATCAAGAAGCACAGTAATCTCGTGGCAAATGCTCCTCTTTCTTTCTATTCTCTTAGTATTTCTGTGATAGAATTTTTCTGGCAATTCGACGAGAAAATACGAATTTTGGAAAGAAAAGGTGAATTGTCGATTTTGGAAACGAGAAATAATGCCACGAGTTGGTAGATATCGTGTTTCATGTTCTGTACAGGAGAAGTTATTAGCAGAAGGCAAGGTTAACGACGACCAACGATCAACTAACCTTTTGGTGGCTGCATCCCCAATTTTTTCATGCCTTCTCGGACCTCTTCGAGGTCCGTGTCCGAGACCCTCATGCTATCGGACACGAATTCGTGGCCTGGCGAATCGGCCAGCGCGCTGTTACTTCCGGTGGTCACGGTTCCGCTGCTTTCCTGGCCAGTGGTCACTTGAACTGTTCGCAAGACAACACTCACGGCTAAACTAGAAGGGTCGGGTATACTGGCTCTGGCTAATGCTAGAAGCTTCGCTAGTTCTACTGCTCGTTTGCTTTCGTTTCTTAGCTGCTTATGCTCTTTTTCGTTCTTTCAATTTTCGCTCCGTTCGGTGTTTGATCGTGCGAGGATCGCTGCGTTTCTCTTTGCTTCGGAATTGTAATTTTGGGAAAGAATTGGGCGAAATATGGTTTTTGCGAAAATGTAGTCGGTAATGCGTTAATTTTTTGGGAAAAATATTGTGGAAGGTTGAGTCGTAAGTAATTTCGTCTTTTGCGTAAGTTTTGAGAGAAGGTTTTGATAAGAAAAACAAGGTTTATTTTTTTTTAATTTTCTTTGGTAAAATTCGTTAGAGTAGAATTCTAATTTTTTCTGAGAAGAATTATAATAAGTTGAATCACAGGTAATTTCGTTTTTTGCATAAATCCAGAGACTCTTTTAACAACAAAAAAACAAGGTTATTTTTTGAATTTCTCTTTCGTAAAATTTGTTAGATTTTGAGTAGAATTTTAACTTTTTGTGACAAGAATTGTAAGTTGAGTCATAAGTAATGTCACTTTTTGCATAAGTCTTAAGAAACGTTTTTAATAAAAAAGCAACGTTTATTTTTTCAGTGTTTTTTGGAAAATTCGTTAGACTGATTCGAATTCTAATTTTTTTCTGAGAAGAATTAGAGTAATTCCGGGAGAGACAGACCAGGCAAGTGTTTCCTACATTATCCGCCGTATGTGCAACGCGTCAGTATTCTTTTGTTTTACGGAAAGCGATCGAGCGTGGCTCTCAGTGTTTTCTTCCATATCTGGCGGATAATGTAGGAAATACTTGCCTGGTCCGTCTCTCCCGAAATTAACCTACAATAAGTCGAGTCATAAGTAATGTCACCTTTTGCGTAAGTCTTAACACTTTACCGACCGGTAGCCTATAAAACGCTTCTTTACCGCCAACGCTTACCGACCGATAGCCTATTAATCGCTTCTTTACCGCCGACGCTTTTTGACCGACAGCCTATTAATCAGTCAAAGTTTGATTTAACATTTCTATAGGTATAAGAAAAAGCGCATATGTTCCCGCGCGAAAGCCTAGAGTCTAAACAGAGCCGGTGTCAGCGATGTACATATCTGTGGCCGATTGAGCGGTCGGAAGTGCGTGGGATCTTCAACCGTTACCGGTCGGTAAAGTGTTAAGAAACGTTTTTAATAAAAACACGTTTATTTTTTCAACGCGTCTTTCGTAAAATTCATTAGACTCAGATTTAACCCATTTGCATTCGTAAGCGGAATATCCCGCACATGACGATCGTCACCTATTACCAAGCGCGGACTATTCCGCGAGTCGCGACATTCATTTATCATCGGACGCGGAATATTCCGCAAACCATCAGTAGTAATTCAGTAGCATAGGTAGAGTCGTGATGCAAATGGGTTAGAAACTAGATTCACTTCTGAGATGAAAATTCCCATTATTAAAATTTAACATTTATAGAACAATTACCATACACCCTGTTCCTCGTCATAACCACGGTACTACCTAAATTACCTCAAATTATTACCTAATAAATTCCAAATTCATACAACCTCTATAAACCGTGTACCTCAGAAGCTCTTCTTAAATACTAATTTTCATCGACCTTAATAACCGAACCTCGAGTGATATCCGATAATTCATCGAACAAACTATTAACGACACGTTTATGCAAACTACAAATTAATACTCAAACAGATCTGCACGCATGCTTTCTTACGACTCAACCTGGTAGTTTAAGGGGGTATTCTAGTCTAGACTTTTCAAAGAAAAGATTTCTTTAGATTTCTTTTTTTTACATTTTCTGAAAGTAGACATTTGCAGAAGTATAACTGTCGAAGGATTTTTCCGAATTCGTAAAATTGACGAAGTTATAGATGGTTAAAGTAGACGACACGTAGCCCGTAGTCGTAAGTATGAGAAACTTTAAACGCGTTTTTCTAAATGGCTGACAAGTTCTAGTTGTCCGATTTACATGCACCTTCGGTGGATGTGTCGTTATCGTCTGAACCAGAATTATGCCAAAATATATATCTTCTGATTTTTAGAGCCTTTGAAAGACTAAGAAATAGATATTCAAAATTCAAAGTGCCGCAATTTTGTAAATTTTCACTATTTTTTTTTCATTCCGGTGCACACCATAGTCACAGTCGTACTAATCAACAATCCTTTCGGTTTTTTCACTTCGGATAAACAGAATGGGCGGAATCGTGTCAGCCAGTAGGACACTTTTTTTTAAAGGGATCGCACTGAACGATATATCATTCAGACAGTTTTGACTATTTTCACTTGAAAAAAATTGTGAACTTTCTTAAAATATGAATAAATATGTATGCAAAATGCCGATACTGAGAAACTTATACTTTCCTTACAAAAAAATCCCTAAGAAGGACTAAAAAATGACACTCTAGACTAGCTACCCCCTTAATATCTCCTTAACACAAGGACTCGAATAAACATTGAACTCGATTTCTAAAGATTCCTCCGGTCGGAAATCATGAAATTTCAAGCACGACTTAACCAGACGTCCAGGAATTAACATCCTTGCAGTCGGTCGGCTTCGGACAAAACCGGGAAGTCGGTTGGAAACGCAGCGAGCAGTGGCCGAGATCGAATTCTCATTTAACAAAAGAGTAAGAAGGATGGTGAACTCGTAGACGAAGAAGCCAGAAGGGTGAACAGCCTCCGTAAGGAAGCGTCGAATTCTCATTCAACAGCGATCATTCTAAGGATCAGGTAGTATTTCAGTAAATGTCTCCGTCTGTTCTCCGATCTGCTCGTATTTCGTTTTATCTCGTTCGAATAAAGTTCCATTGTTTGTTCATATTCATCCCTCTGGCTCTGTCGTTTCGATTTCGACCAATGTTTTTACGCTTCTCCAAAAGCAGGAATCTGCTTTTCTTCTCTTTTTTTATCAACGTGCTGGCGTGTGTTTGATTAACCCTTTAACGCTCATTTCCGTATCTCACACATGTGCAACTAATTAACACGTTCCATGTCGGACCGATTTTCGGTGACTTCCGTTCGCGCCGCGTGGGTCGTATACGCCCCCACGTTGTCGAGACTAACAGTTTTGCTTTTCACCCTATACACTACCGGCCAAAAGTTTGTAATCACCGAGCATTGCAATTTACAAAAAAATTTCCAGAAAAAAGAGAATTTTTTATCGTTCTGTTACCCAGAGGCGCTGAACTTCTTGCCCACGAGCAAATTTCCCCTCCCGAGGTTCCCCCACTATGCGGCACGAACACGCAGAATGTGTAACGTAAACCAACGGCAGTCGCTGGAGTTGTGGTGGGGGAACTCCTCGCTCCTCCTCCGCCGCGCCGCTACTCGAGCGAGGACCATCTCAGTCGCATAGTGGGGGAACCTCGGGAGGGGAAATTTGCTCGTGAGTAAGAAGTTAAGCGCCTCTGTGTTTCACCCTCAAATATTTTCCTTCTTAGACTTAGTTTTATCTGTATTTACGAGTCACCCACTTTCACCATTACTCATACTAGACTCTTCACCTTCCAACTCTCCCACATAGTCACAAGGCTCTCCCTACATAGCCCTATTTTCTCTATTTCCGCGTTCATTCTCTGTTCTACCACGCGCACGTCACGTATCATCAAAAATCTCTGTTAAATAAAGGTGTGATTCACGCAACGACGATCCCTAAGTGTTTTAATTCAGCGATTAATATTTGCTCCTAGTTTCGAGGAATTGGAGCAAACCGGGCATCACAGTTCGAATCAATCGATATGAGATAAATTGATAAATGTAGAATTGAGATAAACTTCAAATCGATAAAAATTTGGCAGCAGATTTAATATCGATGAAAAGTGGGAGGTGATTCCAAACTTTTCGCCGGTAGTGTATGTCTTCCAATATTTGTAAGATTGCAAAATTTATTGTTTTCGAGAAAAAGGTAACGTTTAAGATACGCTATAGAGCAAAGGGAGAATTCTTGTTTTAACTAATTACCGCCGTAGTTGCATAGTTTAAGTCAGCGGAAGGAAAAGCCTGAAAGTCCAGAGTGGGGCGTATGCGACCCACGCGGCACGAAACGTGTTAATCAATAAATGAGCCGTTTATTTTGACAGAGGTGTAAGTCCATTTTCCTAAACATCGAGATATTTAACCCTTTGCAATCGAGCGGCGACTGAGAAGCGACATTAAACAATCGTCACTTGGTGAATAATTAACGAAGACAGAGAACAGATCAATGGGCCTCCATAAATTTCTTCATCACAGTGAAATAGAGGATACGTTGAATATTTCAATAAAATAGTATACTTTACTTCTACGTTAGTTTGAAAAAATTTCGAAGATCCGATTTGCAATCTTTTCTACAGCAAAATCACCTCCGAGTGCAAAGGGTTAAGGGTTCGCGTTTTAATCGACTCAAAGGTATTAACTATCACTAGTAGTCTGATTTGTGTTTGTTTTTTGTGGTGGAAAATATTTCAACTTTTGAGATAGAGAAAATATATCGGAATTGCTTGAAGAAAAATTGGGACTTTGTGACCACAAATGGACTTACACCGCTATTCAAATAAATGGCTCAAATACGCCTAATTTTTCTAAATTATTTTCTCTCACTTTTCATATTTCGTTATCCTTTCTGTTATGGCAAGGACGTAAGTTACAGCGTTGTAAATAATGGGAAACTTATTTCTATACGTGTCTGGGAATAATAAAAAAAAAAAAGAGTGATCATTTTTGGGACACCAAGTTGAGAAAAATGCGAGCGTTAAGGGGTTAAAACGGAGATATTGATAGTTCGTTAAGTATTTCTAGCTTTTCATTATATATTTCACGTGGAATTAACGCGACATATACTGACGATCGTCATTAGCAGTGCGATTTTAATCGACTATGGCTGGATAATGGCGACCGCCACGTTCTCATTGAGAGACACGAGATCGTCGATAACGATCTCTGTCGCGTGGAACTT